ACAGTAATAATATCGATCTTTATCGTCCTCGATAAGTTATCTTTAGCGATAATACCAATTGCGATAACTTTTTGGCGATAAATTATCGGCAGCGATGATTGTGATTTTCTTTTACCGACCTCGATAAATTATCTTCAATAATAATACCGATTTTTTACCAACCGCGATTAAAATTTCACTATCAGTAAAAATAACTGATTTTCAATGTTTTGTCAATGTATTAATATTCTCTAAAATTTGCGCTACCGATTATCGGGTTTTTCTGGAAATAAATGAATGAAAACAGTAATCTTTTTCGTGTACACAATTTATTTATAGCAAAAAAAAATTTAATTCATACATTAATAATATAATCATAATTATATAATATGTATATTTTTTACAATATTTTATGTTAGTTTTCTCATTTGCGCACTTAAAGGTTTATACTTTATGATTCGATCATGTAAAATCAAACAATAGGCTAATATGTTAGCAGGAAAAGCTTTTGATGATTCAAATTCCAGTCGAACATCAACTGGTCCTGATTTTAAGGATTCATTTTGTTTAGAACAATTAATTACAACGAGTGGTGCTATATCTATAAAATTTTTTTTCGTGAGTAGAGGTTCTGCTTCTTTATCATAATATGATGTTTGGAAATCTCTATACATATCATATAATAAGGCAAATTTATTGTGACTTATGTCAAGATTCATGTTGCCATATGGATAGCATTGTGAATTGAGAAAAAGTTTTACATCTCTTAAATCACAATGATCGAAATGACTTGCATCTTTTGTAGCATCATTTTTGCGTGCAGTTTGAAATTTGAATATAACATAGCGGGGCTTTTCCAATTGAGTTGATGTTTTTACGACCCATACGTGTTTGGTTGTGTTCGGCAGCATTGGATATTCATATAATTCCCATGATCTGAAACTCACTGGAATCGGTGGGTCTTTTGCAATGTAACTTAACAATTCTACTTTTTTTATGTCTGCAACAGTGACATAAGGAATTATCCATGCAATTTTTATAAGCGTGATCGTCTTTTCAGGTTCCGCTGCAGCTTGTACAATTGCATTAAGATCGGTATTTGAACAAGTAAGTATTAATTCATGTTTGGCATTAACAATTATGCGATGATAATCTTCAGCAAATCCCAATAGCATATGTAACGGTATCGAAACATCAAAGTATCTATTATCATTAAATAATTTTTCATTATCAGTTACCCAACTTGCATTATCTAAATAATTTTTTTGACCTGGATGAAGAGATAGATATCCCTTCATAAGACTTGTAAGACCAACATTTTTATTTCGATCAATCTCAACACCATTCAATTTATATCGTATTTTTCCAAATAAATAGCATACGGCCATATTAACGAATCTTGATGTTACTGCTATTGCATTTCCGTTCGATTTTTTAAATTTCCCCATAATATGAAGAAAACTTTTGTAGTAGTATTACATCCCTGTAGTAATATTACATTCAATCCTTAATGCATTAATTTTCAAGATAGATACTGGTAAATCTGATGTGCGAGTCAATTTTGGAAAAATAACTCGTGGACTAAAGCCCAACAAACTACCAATAGAATCATGCGGTTTAAAATTTATTGTTGCATTTTCACTGCAAACTTCACTGTGTAGTTCATTATTATTGGGCTTAATAGAAATCGATAATTGAGTATCAGCTTTCTTCAAATAATTTTCAATGTCTTCAATTTCATAGCTTTCTGTGGGTATTTTAATACTTTTATCTTTACCATTGAGTGTATAATAAAATTTATAATTGCCGTTATCAATATTTGGAATAGAATTGAAAGTTAACAATTCCACAAGTCCTAGGGTATATTTTTTAGAAGATGATAATTCAATTGGTGAAAAATAAAACGCTTCTAGAATGGACGTTTGTCCAGACAATGTTAATGTGAGTGAATCATCCATGACTGATGCTTATTGGAAAGTGCATATTACTTTCATACTTTTCTCGTAAAAATTTTAAACACAAGTGTCCGCAATTATCTGTACTGTAATCTTAATGTTTTTCATGATTGTACAGTATTTTATCAACATTAAGATATTTCATAAGCTCATGTGGTGGCTGCAGATTGCCAAAACTGTCATAATATATAACTTTATTACCACGTTTTTTGTATGCCACCCAATGAGTTTCAGGTCCAGTTTTATCATCGAGATTAATAATTGCTGATTCATTTTTCCACGGTGTAGATTGTGAAAGATCATTTCGCATAAAAATACCACGGAAAAAAGGTATTTTCATGATTTTTGCATATTTTTGAAGTTTAATATCAGTCAGTGCACGATGGGGTAAATTTAAAAGTTTTTTTTTGCCGGTTTCCAATACAATCCTAATCCTCTCTTGTGTGGTTTTAGACGTAGACCTTTACTTGGAGCTATTGCTTCCATTTTCTCGTTATGTCGTTTAGCTTCTTCTAATTGACGTTTGGCGTCTCTAGCATCATTAATTGCTTTTGCAATGCCAGCAGCGCCAACTGCACTTAAACCTGCAAATAGAAGTATAAGAGGTAAAACACCTTCCACTTTTGGCGGTATTGGTATAATCACACCAAAAACAGCCCTAACGGACTTCACAAAAATACGCGCCAAGTATGAATAACGAAGACGATAATCATCGTTCATCAAGTGCGATTTCTATAAAACTTCTTTATGCGAACAACTACAAAAATGCATGAAATCATTGCAGCCAAGTATTTAAACATAAAGATTAATGATATTTAATAAAATAAAATAGAAATGTTTTTTTAATTTTCGTTAAATTATTATGTAATTTTCTACATAAATCAAAGACAAACTCTTTATAATAAGATAAAAAAAACATTCAATACATAAAGGTAGTTGACAGCCTTATGACGTTTTAAAATTTTAAAAAAAGAAGAAAAAAATTGAATTAAAAAAAAATTTCTCTTTTTTTATAAAAATTTATTTAAACACAATTAACTTGGCGTGGCTATCAATGATATGAACCATCTAATCAATGATCGTTTTATCTACAGCTGTAAGAGCCACGCCAAGTTAATTGTGTTTAAATAAATTTTTATAAAAAAAGAGAAATTTTTTTTTTAATTCAATTTTTTTCTTCTTTTTTTAAAATTTTAAAACGTCATAAGGCTGTCAACTACCTTCATGTATTGAATGTTTTTTTTATCTTATTATAAAGAGTTTGTCTTTGATTTATGTAGAAAATTACATAATAATTTAACGAAAATTAAAAAAACATTTCTATTTTATTTTATTAAATATCATTAATCTTTATGTTTAAATACTTGGCTGCAATGATTTCATGCATTTTTGTAGTTGTTCGCATAAAGAAGTTTTATAGAAATCGCACTTGATGAACGATGATTATCGTCTTCGTTATTCATACTTGGCGCGTATTTTTGTGAAGTCCGTTAGGGCTGTTTTTGGTGTGATTTCACGATTTTTTGTACAACAAACGGAATATGTATCATTCGACTCCGTTACTACGACATGGAATTTAAGAACAGACATCACTATCTGTGTATAGATAATACAGTACCAGACATAAATGCTGTTCAATTTTTTGAGGGTTCTACAAGCGATTTTCCTATACCGTCCTATAGAAAATCACACAGCATTTATGTCCGGTACTGTATAATAGTCTTCAGTCTGGTAGTATTTAACTATCAACTCAATAAAAAAAAAATTGTTATCTCTTACCGATCTTAAGAGATAAACAAAATTATTGATTGAAGGACATGAATTAGTTTTCAAAAAACGTAAAACGATTTTTTTTAAAACGTAAAACCATCGGTTATACATTCTATGTATTACCTATCAACTTAAAATGTACATAAATATTTGTCGTTTTCGATACCGAAAAACTCGGTCGGCATAATACGGACACGGCATAATGACAGCGCGGAATGTACGATCGATCGTCGTGCATAACATCCACGCAGGTTCAGAATTAGAAGCGGTACCTTAAATTTTTCGGCATATTAGATTTTTGCGCCTTTTCTGATTTTAACTTATGAAATCTAAAAAGTAATAAGTGAGGAGATGTAAGTAAAATAATTAGTGCAATAATTCATATGAACACATAAATTTTAAATTCTATTCTTTAAATTTTTCCTCCTCTCTTTTTCTTCAATTTAGTAGGATACAATTTTTCTTCTATTGCATTCCCACCATCAACTTTTTTCATGAGAATTTCCTACAAATAAAAGAAAAGAAATACTTATTATGTTCAATTTTTAATTATTGTGATGAAATGCAAAAAATAGATTAGCTACCTTACTTATCATTTATGAGTAACTTAATTGTTCGTTGAACATTATGAAATAAATAACAATCTCTAGACTTTGTACACTTTGATTTTCTTATGGGGGAAATTGACCGTTCAGAATGAAGTCGTAAGTAGACAGAAGATTCATGCTGCATTCACGTGGGAGTGAATCAAAAGTCAACAGAATAACTATTTGAATTCTTCTGTAAATCTATATTTAGAATTTTCCCAAAAACTCAATTCAAATAAAAAGTAATTTTGAAAAAAATTATTAATAATTTTAACACAATTTTAACTGTTGCGTCTTTAATGCCTTATACTATTGTACTGGAGCGACATTTGTACCAGTACTATACTGTCCTGAACATTTTGGTCATATAACATTTGTGCCCCTTTCGAAATGTGCTAGTAGTAAATTTACAATGTTGGTAGAGTCGAAACAGTTTCAACCGTTCATTGTGTTTATTTATTCAATGATCCTCTAGTACATGTATTTATTAGATATAAAGTATATTCATTATGATTAGTAGAATATTCATTGATTATTTTTTTTATATTTTTTATTTATTTACCAAAGAAAGTATATATTTTAATTTATCTGTATCTCAAAATTATGAAAAATTCAAAAAAACATGAAAACATGATTTTAAATCTATTTAATTTTCTCCTAATATTTTTAATAATTTATCGAACCCTTTTCTTTTCTTTTCCACCTTCTCTTCTTCTTCTTTTTTTCTTTTTGATGTGTAATATCTGGAACAAGACATTGAACTATAAAATGACAATGTTCATTTGGTTGTACTTTACTTCATTGTTATTGCAATAAAATAACCCTTACATTTTGTTCCGCAGCTTGAGATTTTTCCCACACTACCTCTTTTTTTTTTCTTTGAAGAAACATCTATTTTAATTTTTTGTTTCGTTTTTTCATCTTTTAGTAAATTTTGTGTTCTTGTTTCGATGACCTGTAAATTGAATTTTATCAAAAAGTATTCAGAAAATCAATCACACCGATTTTTTAATATCTCTGTACAGTCACAACTATTGACAGATAAATAAAATATCTTCGTCTGACAATTTATGATTAATTTACCTCTACTATCAACTACCGTACTTACTTGATTTATGTATAGGTACGTTTGACAGAAAGGAGCATTCAACACGCTCACCAGCGCTAATAGAACATTTATTGAAAGATGGTTGTTTTATTTACGTAATAGGTACACGGTATATCCGATTGATACACTCCCCAAAACTTTATTACTTTTTATTAATTTTTTGTACCAAAAAAAATTTACATTCATAATTTGGCGCCTCAGTAATTCTTTCGTTTTTTACCAACATAATATTTTCCATAGTCATGTAGCAACTTCATGGTAGTACCAACTTTACAAAAAAAAGTCGTACTTTTAAGGAAAAAGATTCTTTTTACTTAAAATGCGGTACAAGGGGCGTGGCCAATTTTAATTTTTGCAAATAAATGATTTTCAGGGCACAATAGCAATTGCAATTTATTGTCGTAGCTAATCAATGGGGCTTTCAAAGATTTTTTAATGAAGTTTATGTCATTATTGCAGAGAAATGAGAAATTTAAAGGAGCATAACCTCAAAAGTGCTAATTTGAGCGGAATAGAGACACGGTAGTGCCTTCGTTACCGCTATTCATACTTGGCGCTCGAGACACTACTAAAATAAACGTGTCTCTTGATACGTGGAACTTTGATTTTTTTCTTTCCACCAGCATCGCGAACAGTCTTTCGTGCAGCAGCTAATGCAGATTTAATAGGATCTGAACTGGAATTTAACATAAGCTTTGCTGAATGAACAACTTTTCGCAAATGTTTAACTCCCTTGTCCTTTTTGTTTTTTTCTTTCAAACCCATTCCCAATTTTGATTCAACTTTCATGACGTTGGAAATTCTTAAAGCAGCAATTCGTTCAGCACTATCTGCGTCTCTCGCAAAAATGCGTGTCATAGATTTTTCAGCAAGTATTCTATCAGCTGCGTTTCTAGCTTCAATGTTATCTCGATTTTGCGAATATGCAATATCGTGTTCTTTACAAGCAGCGTCCAATGGATTGATTCCTGGATTTCCACGTGCTAATCTCTCCTTCAATTTGGTTCCTGGACCACAATAATGATATCCTGGTATATAAAGTTTGAATGGCAATTTGTTTATAAGTGTGTTAACAATAACATCACCTCGTTTTTTAATACGTCTTTGCACTATCATTGTTCAAGAACGACTAACTCGACACCTATAAAAGATTTAAATTTATAACTAGAATGTCATTCTACATCAAGATGAAGTTCAATCAACAAGAAATTAAGTTGCCTGTAATTAACTTTGACCTATCACGAGACACAAATATCAAACGTCACGGACAACTTTTACCAAACAGTGTCCGTAGTGTTATTTCTGGTCCATCAAATTGTGGAAAGACAGACACTCTTTTAGCACTTATTGTACATCCAAATGGCCTACGATTTAGAAATATTTATTTGTATTCAAAATCATTCAACCAACCTAAATATCAGTTTTTAAAAAAAATAATTGAACCAATTAAAGGTATTAAATTTTATGCTTTTAATGAGCATGAGGAAGTGGTAAAACCGGATGAAGCAAAACCCAACTCAATGATGATTTTCGATGACGTAGCATGCGAAAAACGAGATAATATGCGAACCTATTTTTGTATGGGACGACATAGAGATATTGACTGCTTCTATCTTTTTCAAACTTATGCACAAATTCCTAAACATTTGGTGCGTGACAATACAAACTTTCTTGTACTTTTTAGGCAAGATGACATGAATCTAAAACACATTTACGATGATCATGTAAATACTGACATGACTTATTCTCATTTTCGAGATATATGTTCAATGTGCTGGAATAATGATAAATATGGCTTCTTGGTAATTGATAGAGACAGTGATCTTAATAATGGGCGATATAGAAGAGGATTTGATTGCTTCATAAGTATAAATTCACCGTGAATACATTAAATTGTACATTATGTATGTGATTGTCAAAGTGTCAACATGAAAACTACGAAGCTGCAACAAGAAAAAAAAATATTGCATCAAATAGCGAAAGCAAGTAATGCAATACGCCAAAAGCATAAGTTGATTAAACTTGGAAGAGATATGACTCAACAAACCATGAATAAAATATTTAAACCTATGGTGACTCCTCTTAAACAATTAGCTGATAAAACACTTCTTAAAGAGGAACCTCAAGACATAAAAATAAAAAAAAAAGAACCTAAAGAAGAGCCTAAAGAAGAAGTTGAAAGCAAACAAGAAAGCCTTACATCTGATTATGAAATAACTGATGATGATTTTTATACAACAGCAACAATTACCCATCAAAGTACTCCTATTAAAGACATACCTGTAGTAAGGTATTTCAAGATGTTCAATTGTAAGCTCTTGTGCAAAGACTTAGATACAAAGTATGGCATAAGAAAGTTAAAAGGTAATTCACTGATGATGGGTGATTCTGAAGTCAGGTTCGACAATAATTTTATTTATATTAGTGATAAAAAATACAATTCTACTTCTGGTCTATTGGAATTATTATTTATGAATTCACCTGATCAATCAAAAATAACAAAAGAAGATGAAAACACTTATGGCGGAATTATCAGTATGACAAACGCCTATCGAAAGCATTATCTTCCTGACAGAAGTATCAGAGTAGATAAGAATTTAAAAAAATTCACCGACATAATCAGTAAATATATACCAAAAAGTGGAGAAAGTTTACCACAATATATGATTAAACATAAACAAAATCATCCTACTGATTATATTTATTGGGATGATCCCAATGAACTTGTAGATCGACTTTGTTTACTTATTGCATCTCAAACTGCTGGAAATTTCAGTCATACTAACGAAATTTTATCAATTTTAGAGGAATTGCGTGAAGCTGAAATCACTTATTAATCTGATGTATTCTACACAGCTACTCATTCTTTGAAGAACTTTTGAAGTGAGAGGTTGAAAAATGAGTGTTGACGTTTTTGGATGACAATTAGCGAAAGATATTGTGAAAAGTGCTGTTCGTGGGCCTCCTGGTGAAGGATTTAAATTAACTGTGGATCAACAGTTTGACATGGATAATAAGAGATTATGTAATCTCGCTGAACCAGTAGATTTGAAAGATGCATTAAGAGTAATTGAAAAAAAGATTACAATTTTAAAAAAATTTATTGAAATAGAATTACGTCTGTTACGCGAAACTGTAGCAAATTTAAGAAGAATTGTTGAAGAAAATAGAGAAAGAATCATAATCATTAATGTTCAAGTAGAGCAACATATTGAATCATCACAAGAACATCGTAAACGTCTGAAAGAAGAATTGAATGAAACAATTGAACTGCATAAGTCAGATCGATTACGCTTACTGAAAAAAGCAAATCGTAAACAAGCTGAAAGTATTAAACAATTGGAAGAAAATATTCGGAAATATCTTGATCAGCAGCATCATGAACAAGAAGTAAAAAATAATAACTGAAGAGCTGCATAGACCGGTTAGAAGAAATTAACAACGACGACATGTTGATATACGTGGGCTTGATGAAACTTGGCAAGCTGATCTAGTTGACATGAAAGCATATAAATCTTATAATGAAGGTCATCAGTATTTATTGACTGTTATTGATATTTTTTCAAAATACGCTTGGGCTGTGCCCACAAAATCTAAGAATGGTAAAGATGTAGCCCATGCAATGAAATCGATTCTATGACAAAAAAGAGTGCCAAAATTTTTGCATGTTGATAGAGGAAAAGAATTTTACAATAAAGAATTTGAAGCACTTATGAAGCAATATAATATCAAAATGTATTCCACATTTAGTAATCTTAAGGCATCTATATGTGAACGATTTAATCGCACGTTAAAAAGTCAAATGTGGAAACAATTTACGTTGCGAGGTAATTACCAGTGGATAGACATCTCACCAAAATTGATGACATCATATAACAACAGCAAACATAGAACCATCAAAATGAAACCGATTGATGTTACTTCAGCCAATGAGAAACAATTTCGTCATACTATCTACAATAATAAACTTGAAGTTCAACAAAAAATAAAAAAGACTAAATTTAAGGTTGGGGACAAAGTACGCATAAGTAAATGTATTGAACACTGATCCAGTAACCTACAAGCTTGTTGACTATTAAGATCAACCGATTGAAGGAGGTTTTTATCAAAAAGAATTGACTAAGGTTCAAAATCTTAATATTTATTTGGTGGAAAAAGTTCTGAAAAAGTGTGGTAATCGAGCTTTTGTCAAGTGGCTAGGATTTGATAAAACGCACAATAGCTGGATTACCATAAAAGATTTATAATGTCTCTAACTAATGAGTTAGAAACAATGACTGCCAAAATGTCTTTAGCTGAAGAGCTAGAAGCAATGGCTAACAAAATGTATAGTGATGCTCAAAAATTACCACGTTATACAAAAAATAAAGCTGCTAACATTAAATAAATACCTTCAACTCATAAAGAACAACAAAAAATTTATAAGGAAAACAACTAAACATTTTGATATAATTATTAAACGAATGTTGAAAGAAATTAAAAAAAAAAAATAAGACCAATAAGAATGAAGATGATTTTGTCATATTATTTGTAGAAGATAAGTTCAATACAAACTAATGTAAATAATTTATAATATTTTTTTTTAATTAATAAATTTTTTTTCTTACAAATTATTTTTTTTTAACATAAACCTCATATTTAAAATAATTTATTTACACTATTTCATATGAATTATAACCCCAAGGAAGTGTATTAGTTGTTTGTGCTAAAAGAACTCTTTTATTGTCTTCCCAACTTGATGCTAATTTTTGTCTACTCATTGTATATACTTCATGTTTCTTGCTGACTATATGATATTCCGTTTTACATAATTTTTCATGATGAAGTAAGCATTTTTTTGTAATCATCAAATGTTATAGATTTTATTGTTGCAGTTTTGAGACCCTTTGCTTTACTATATTTGTCTTTTTTATTTTAAACTTTAAATGTGTACATTTTTGCTTTTAGACCAATGAATTCCGTCATTATTTTACCTTTATTTTCATCTGTCATAAGACCTACAATTTTTTTATTAACTAATGGAATATTAAAACGGTTATTTGGTGGATAGTCTGAGGTGTCAAATTTATGTATATTATCTTTGATGCAATCACAAATATCAGCATTAAGAAATTGATAAATTGAACTATCTGTATCTGTGTATAATAATTTTACCTGATTGTCTGTAAATTGTCTTTTAATTAAGTTGTAATGAAAATCATAAATAAACATTTTTGAAAGATCTAAAACTACAAATCCTACGTATATCGGCTTATTGAAATATATATTTTTTTCGCTCCATTTATATTATTACCATGTCATTGTCAAAAATTATACTATTGTGGAATTTTGGAGAGGCAATGAGATTTTTTGCACCATACCGACCTTCCCACTGTGTAACAAACTTTACATCTTCATACTTTCGAACGTTTTTCATTGTTTTTCCGTAAACTGCATTATTCATTAATTTATAGAAATTCTTTTCAAAATCATTTTTAGATTTTTTGAAAATTTTTTTAGAAATCTGTATTCAGATCTACATACTTCTTCATCTA